GATGGGTGTGTTGTATTTTCAGACACAGTAACCTGCTACTGAAACGTGAAAGACACGTTCTGCTTGAGTTCCAATGTAAACGTGAAAGACACGTTCTGCTTGAGTTCCAATGTAAACGTGAAAGGTTTAGCTACTTATTTTGACGGTTAAGCAAACTATTTTTTAATACGAATGACGTAAATAGTTATTAAGCCTAACACACAAGGTTTTCATTCTCTATGTCACTGCTACTGTGATAATAAAAAAAACAAATAGTGCGTTGCCATCTCTATATTGAAAGCACTGATTCCAATAAAGAATGAAAAATGATTTATATATATATATAATTGAAACTTAGAAAGAGGGAGGTTTGCCTATCAACATTGTTGACCATTGTGACTACCATTTATTTTGAAAAATATTATCTTAATAAACATTCATCAATTTTTGCATCACTTGACTAGCCTTTTATATATATATATATATCACACATGTTTTTTTTAGTGACGTATAGAGGAAATAGATAAAACCCCAAAAATACATCACCATTACAAATATACCAAATATTTAAACATTACTTTATGTATTCGATATTATCCCATAAATATAATGACGTTGGTGACGTTTCGAAGTGTTTATCTTATACGTGTTAGACAAATTTCGCAAGAACAGGTACACATAATTTAGTAAAAATGGCATGCTGCCCGTTCTTCTAATTCAATGAATCTGTTTTTTGGTTTCTTAATATGGAAGTAGAATTTAACCCGCCAGCCGTGCACCCTGTCGACAGACTTGGAATATTATGCAATCGTGCCACCTCTATTGAATGTTGTAGGTGTTCTGCGATCATTGGAAATTATAATGATGTTGTTTTGCTGTTTTAGCGCAAAGGTACACACTGGGTGATCTGTGCCCTGTCCACCGAAAGAATTTTAACGAGTAATTTCTTAAACTAACCGTTGACCATCCGGGGGACAAATTATAATGAAGGAATAACAGCTCCTAAACGTTCTAAAATTAAACAATTGTGACAGTTTTGTACTTTATACTTCTAATATTTTTCAGTGATTATGCTTTAAAAGCTTTTTTAAGCTAGTTAAATATTTTGTTAGATTTTTTACGCAAGGAAACTAATATTTTTTAATTAACTAATAATACAGCCTTTAGTGTCAGTTATTTACGTTTAAATTATCTCTTCTGAATTAAAGTGAAAACAAACACATTAGGATATTGGGGGGGGGGGGGCAGTCAGTAGGTCATGAGGTGTTGAACTGTTGTAGTTCTCCAAATTTACTTTTAAATGACAGTTAATTGTTCCCATGTTATGAAATATTAATTTTGAAATTTTGACTATATGATACAGAAGGTTATACGATACAGTTTTAGGCTTAACTTAGCTGATGCTTCCTAAAAGACCTTCAGGTTAAGATGATATTAGTATTGAAGCTGTTTACTAATACTGTTAGTTTTTCTACTCATGTTCTTCCAGATTTTTAGAAAGACACTCCAAATCCTAATGGTTTTTGGAATGATTCTTATCGACCATTTCTCAGTAATTACTTTTATTTGAGTATAAAATAAATAAAGAAGAAAATGTAATACGCCACTAATAAGTTTCTTTATTTTATGTAAGTTATTTGAGTTCAATTTTCAAACTCTTCGTTTTAGCTTTATTCCATGTTGATTTGTAGAATTAAACATGTCAGTTCTCTTTTAGTGTCCCCTAGTTGCACAGCAGTATGTCTGCGGACTTCCAATGCTAGAAACCGGGTTTTGATACCCGTGCTGGACAGAGCACAGTTAGCCCGTTTTGTAGCTTTGTGCTTAACTTCAAACAAATCTCTATTAGCTGGATAACACCAAGTCTTAAACAGTTGCTTTATAATCAAAGAAATAATTCCAGTGTGATTTGTAATATAAAACATGGTGTGTCATTTCTCTATGCCAGGTTCGAATCCCCGTCCCGCCAAACATGCTCGCCCTTTCAGCCGTAGGGGCATTATAATGTTACGCTCAATACTACAATTCATTGGTAAAAGAGTAGCCCAAAAGTTGGCGGTGGGTTGTGATGACTAGCTGCCTTCCCT